GTAGTGCTTTGACTTCAGCAGCGACGGGCCTCCTCCACGTAAAGAGGAGGATGCTTTTCAACACGACACTGATAGTGTGGGCCTATGCGTTACCGATTCAATTCATCACGCGGGAAAAGTAATGTCTTGTTTTAAATTGTGATGCCACATTTTTGAGCTGCATCATCTATGCCTATTTGGACCAAGCAAAACTAAATGTAGAGTAACCAGTGAACAGAAATAATTGTACATACTGATTCTGTGATACAGCCATCGTGATTATAATTAGTTCTCCATGCTTGATGTGGTGAAGCCAGATTTTCTCGTTTTTCGGATGTCTCTAGCGCTTCACCGTCACCGTCTTGCATCATTGCAGGCGCACTTCGGACCACGGTACTTATGACACAGCACCTTTTAATTATTAATACGAAGGCCTTAAATATCCTTACATGCCTTATGAAACGAGGAATATGATTGTCAGCACTACGCGTCGGTAACATGAGGGTCGACCTGCACAAGATATACTGCTTTAGGTAGTGCGCTCGCTTCCACTGTCTCATAAGCACTTCATCAAGTTCAACTCTGCACGGCCTAATAAAATAGCACAAAGTATGACTGATGGCACTGGCCCAACAGTCCCGACATGGGTGTGGCACTGTTTAACCCAGGATCGACTTTTGGGACCCAATGAAGTTTTTCCACCATATCATGCTGTGTAAACTGCCAGAAGCCGAAATCTGCGTGAAGCAAACAGCAAGACTGCCAAGGGTAGTGGGTCAGTGTAGGTTCTTAATAGAATGCATGTAAGTTTCCTGATACATTAGTTGAAAGTTTTCTGACGAAGCTTTTCGTTCATTTTGCTGAGCAACAGAACGTCGCAGTGATAACCGCGGATGCTCACTCTCACATGCAGGCATACACACACGCACACACACACACACACACACACACACACAGAGCGACCACGCCTTTCTAATAGCTAGCGCGCCTTTGCCCTCAAGCTGCTATCCTTATTGCAAACACCTCAAATTTTCTCTCATGGACAACACTGTTTTTATTTTTTATTTTTATTCTGAACCAAAGATGCAGATGCCCACAACGCCGACACCAGAATTTCAACAAAACAAGATCTTTAGTGCTCTCGCGTCAAAATGCAACCGCTTCCCGCACGCTAACGTTAGCTGCTGTTGGTGCATTTATATCTGAAAATACTGTTAGCAAATAATTAAGCTGCATATAAAATTAGAAAATCAATTTATTTACAACAGAGCCACAATGTAATTTATTGACATCTATGTACATCTGTATATCGAGCGTAATAAACCAGCGAGGCTACCCAGCAATAACCTTCTACACCCGGCTCGAGTCGCTCACCAGTGAGCACCTTGCCTACCCTCTGCGAGCGCCATCTGTTCCATCCAACGAAAACAGCCCAGGCAGCAAACAGAATCTGGACGCGGCAGCGGCACAGGGTGCAGAGTCATCACCTAACTTATCCTTACACCGTAGATTAGGCGCTGATGGAAACTCTCAGAGACCAAAGTGACGACTAATCTTCGGAGGCTGACTCGTCTTGCCCTTCAGTCTTGCGCCGCGCTGCGAGTTCGTAGGCTGGTAGGTTTCAGGTTTAGCCAATTAGTTCGGGCAACACGACGGCACGTTGAATGCATGCAATGAATGCGATAGCAAAAAATTGTAATGTTATGAAAAGTAAGGCTGGCAGCCAATTTTTTTAGAACCGATATCGCGGAACCCCTACAAAACGCCGGTTTAAGCATATACGGCTGCTTAAGGGAGAAGTGCTCTTTTCACACTCCTTCAAATTGAAACCTGATACTGATACTTCCCGAGATAACAAGTGCGCCAGCGATGGCGACCGCTGTTAAAATCCAAGTTTATTATTGCTACTCAAGCGACCCCTCCTCGCCGCGTTGTTTCATGCTCGTTCAAGACAGGTGGTTTACTTTCTGTGAGCATTCGACGGCAGTTCTAACACAAGGGACATGTTATCTTATGCGCTTTCCATCAATTTGGACTTGTTACGGAACATGGCGACGGCGAAAAACCGCCGAGTGTGTCCATATAATTTCTATTGCTATATTAAAGCAGTTTTTTACTGTAAAATAGGTATTTTGGGTTAGCTCTGCCTTCAGTACCCCTTTTGTTTAATTTGCGTGTTTATACTCCGAATTTTCGTACCAAACCTGCATATAACGAAATCTTTAAAACGAACTTTTCCGAGAATTTATCAATTTTGTTATGTCCAGGTTTAACTGCACGAATGCAGCCACCAGATAAACATGGCTGGGTGCTGAGGAAACGGTTGACAGACAGACAGACAAACAGAAACACAGCCATACAGGCAGACAAAAATTTGTGTCAAAGTATCCCAACAAACAAAAAAAATCATCTTTAAAAAAAAAAGTGATCAGCTGGATATCTGGGAATACATAGTAAATAATGGTACCTAAGTAAAAAAACATGGTTTTGAGATAATCGAGTTTAAAGTGAGAAAACAGCTGAAAAGTGATCGAACTTTGTCACAAACACTGTTCAACTACAGTAGACTGTCAGTAGAAAAAAATATCTTAAATGAAAGTGCAGCTTAAATGAAACAAGTGCTTCTGATGAGATTGGCTTCATACTTGTGTTTCGCACCCTTGTAAATGTGCCCTTGTGTTCTGCACCCTTGTAAAGACTGTCAGTAAATGAAAGTCCTGTTAAGTGGGACACATTTTCCGGGTCCCTTAAGGTACCTTTTAATGAGAGTGTACTGTACTTTATTTAGTAGCTACAAGCTCGGCAATCATTGCTAAAGTCAATTTTTCACTTTGGAGCTTCTGTGAGATGTCATGCAGCTCTAGCACAATGTACTATCGAGTGTGGTCAACGTTTTCCAGCAAATTGACTGTAATTTGGCCAGACTCTAATCCTAACTATTTCATAATTTTTGCTGGTGGGATACAACTATGATTAAATGCATGAACAATATGCAATGTCGCAATCCTTAAGACTGAACCTAAACAAAGCCAGCAAGGACTCTGCCACTCAATTCCCATTAGCTTAACACATACACCGAACTGTTCTCACGTGCTATTCGGTCTATCTGCATCACAAATAATAGCCATGTCCATACGAGCATACCCACTGTCACCATGCATGTGACTGAAGCACGCTGCAAAGGCCGAGAGGTCCAACAATGAAGATCTTACTCGTTCAGCATTCTGCCCCTCAGTATGTCACTGGCTTTTATTCAAATTTACAAGGGTCGCTGTGAAACTTACACTAGTTGAAGACCTCCTTTCCCCCAGCATCTGAACTTTTCGACAAGCACGACAAACACAAGGTGTAATTAACCTAGGAGCTGAGAGTGTTCAAACCAATGTGCCCCGAAGACGAAGTGTGAATATAAAGGCGCACAGTATCTATGGACTGCCTTAGAAGTTACCTGACAATTTTCTATACACAGCTGACCCTGGACAAGCATTTCGACTTTCATACATAAAGTCTTGTTTAGCATAAGCACAAAGCGCATATGAGGAGCATGTGCTAGGGTGTGTTTTCACTCGCTACTTTCTTTCAGAAGAAGCTGGTTTTGAGTCACAGAACATGCTGTTTAAGAAAAGCACGAATATGAAAAATATGCACAAAAGATACCTTTCCAAAATTGAAAAAAAAAAAGATTTTTTCAAATTTAGCCCTACCCTTAACCGTTTAAAAAAAAATATGTATTCAAGGTGCAGGTAATATATACATATAATCTTGAAATGCTACTTCAAAGCAGTGAAGAATTATTCTTAACTATGGTTTCACGGCACAGCAGCTCCACCTTGCAGTGAAACCACCTATTCGAGTGGAATGAAAAAGTTTGTAAACAGAGATTGTGTGCTTGAGCTTCTGTTTCGACCAGTGAACTTTCCTTCGGCACTCGAACTGGTTTCTTTAGCACACTAGTGCTATGGAAATCAGTTCGTCTTAAAGAAGTGGGCTTGTCGAAATTTCACCTATACAGTAAAACCTCGTTATAACAAAGTGGGATATAACGAACTAATGAATATAACGAAGCAATTGTAATTATCCCTAAAATTTCCATAGACAACCATGAATTTAAAACCTCATTTTAACCAAGCAAAAATTTTTTCACAATGGATATAACGAACCATTCTTCGTCTGCAATGAGTATTTACTGATCATTTTGGTATGCGTCAATTCAATATCTTATAGAGCGCGATGATTTACGTCTCATCACGACTGTGGTAATTCAAAACTCGCGTGTTGCGCTCCCCGAGAGCCGCCTACGGCCTACCAACACGCCTGTGGGAGCGAGTCTCTTAGCCTCCCCTTTCCTCGGGAACTAATGAAATCGCTTGCGTAGAAACTCGCGCGAGCGTGCGCGTCAGCCGGCCTCCCCACTCCTGTAGAACTTGTTGACCCGCTCGCGCATTTGACCTCCTCCTCCCCTTCAGTTCCGCGCCGGGACCTTCCCCGCTGGGGCGGTGGAGATTGTGGGTTTCTTTCTTGTCGTTCGCTGCGGAAGAGCAACACCACCTCTATCAGTTTCTGCAGCTAGACACGACATGGACAACGACAGCGGCAAACGTGAGCGCAAAAATAAAAAATCGAGCAGAAGTCGGCAATAATAAAAGCCATTGAGTCTGTTGTCAAGAAAAAAAAAGGGGGCCATAGAGTTTGGCAATGTCGCTGGGTGCCACGGGGGACCAGGCCATGACGTCGTCGCACGCTCTCTTTGACGCGGGCGTTATGCCTGATTGCGACACTTTCCGCATGTACGCTGGTGCCGATGGTGACGGTAGAAATGTCGGTAGAAATGAATATTGGCCATAACGTATAATGGTTATAACAAAGTAATTTTGACTCCCCTTTCAACTTCGTTATAACAAGGTTTCACTGTATACAGACAGACAGACAGACAGACAGATGCTCAAAATGCCTGCAGAACGCAAAGAAATGCTTCCCACTTGAAACAAGCACTGTGCACACAGCTCAGTCAGCTAACTCACCAATTTCATCAAGGTTGAGTCGTGCAACGTCCATGCGGCCAGAAAAGTAGACATTGCCATAGCCCTCCCGTGCCACACAAAAATTTTCCACGATGCAGTGCCCGTCAGGGCCCACCATAGATGCTAACTCGTCCATAGAAGGAACGGTGAAGTACCCTGGCCGAGTGAGCACAATGCCTGCAGGATGGGGGGGTTTCGCAGGGTCAGGTGCTGGATCAGCCTGAGAAGAGTCGTCCAGGGATTCCGAGCTGGACATGAAGCGCAACTTGCGGCCACGAACCTCAAGGGATGACACTGCATCATCCAAGCTTTGCAGATTGCTGCAAAAAATTATGTCCATGACAAACAAAATGGTTACAGAAAGCTAAGGTGCCGTAGAATTTCACTGCCACCGCAGTGCACAGGACTTCAGAGAGCTCTGGCAAGACAACGTAATGTGATACACATATATTACAGTCGAACCTCGTTAGTACGTACCCACTTTAAGCGTACTAACGGTTAAAACAAAGTTGCGACAAATCCCCAACCAAGCGTCATTAGACTTATGCATTCCCGGACCGCTTATGCCGTAGTGTTCGGCCTATGCCTACCGGTTAGCGCGTACTAACTGCATACAGCGATAACATTTTGCACAACAAAGTTTTACTGCTCCGCTGAACTTAGCAGATGCCACAATGTGCCGTGAATGGTTTTCCATTATGTTGATAAGTGCGGAGATCAGCCGATAAGTAATGTCGACTTCCGCGCCATTGCGGGGATGATATTGCGAGTAACCATCGGGAAAAAACGATGGCAAGGTGGTGACCACCGACAAACGCCCCGGTATGACTTATTGCCGGCGAAAAGCCTAATCACAGTAAACATCTTCAGTTATCTGCTCAGGTACGCGTGTGGCGTACTGTCACTTTAGGCCTACTGCACGCTTTTAGTAGGCGACTACCTGAACGCGCTGAGCCGCCGATCGCTGCCGCAAAGATCGCTGTTGCAGAGTTTAGCGTTGCGGATCCCGGGTACCGAGAAACCTTGCTGTATTACGCCAACACACGCACTGTACAGCGAGCATAGTGCCGTTGTTACCATGCTGCACGCTTTTATATAGCAACAGCCAAAATGCGCCTGCGTCCGTTACCAGGACTGCTAGAGCATCACGGAGAGCACATTGCTTGCGGAAAGCTCTTCGTTGCCGTGTTGACCCAGCAGTCTACTCGCCGAATTTGTGCATGGCCTCACGCGAAAAGGGTGTACTCAACAGCAAGCGGACCGGCAGTGAGCGTAGCGCTGCACGCAACTAGCTACGCTGCAAAAGGTTTGGCTCTCTGCGACTTTACTGTGTTTTAAAAAAGAAAACTGCGTCAGTTTTCGTTAAGAAGCAGAACACAAAAAAACTGTATCACGGACAGCCGATTGTGCCCGTTCTGTCGCTGTACCACACTGCGTATCCCGGGTTCCACAGCAGTTTCAAAATGCTGATCGGCGTCGCCATTGCGTGCTATAGGGCCATTGTGTAAGAGTCGGAAACTTTTCTATACTTTGGCTAAAGGAAAGAAATGGCTTTGCGGTGGGTATTTCAGGCAATATTTCGAGTGGCACAGAGTTTCTTCATATTTTGGCGGCGATGGCGCAAGCCAGGAGATGCGAATTTGTAGCTGGTGGCTAATGCATAGTACGTTTAGTGCGTAGTTGCGCCGTCTTCCCTGGCAGGTACGTATTAACGGGGTTTCACTGTACTACGAAGAAATGTACTAGAACAGGATGACTCCTTCTGCGTACAAGACCAAGAACCCTCAGAATTTTTCCCCCACTTTGCACTTTCTTAATTAAAAAAATTTCATATCGGCGTTCATATCCAAGAATGTCGTCACATATTGCCCTCACATCTCAGCAGCCAATGAACAAAGCAGAGACATGAAGGATGCAACACCGCAATTCGCTGGCCTAGAGCACTTGCACCTTATAAAGTCTATGATTGTGATGTCTGCAAAGTGCATTTTGACAAGCTCAGGGGTGCAACAGCTGAAACACAATTTGGAGCAACCTTTGGAGCAGCAAAATGTTGCCTTTGAAGCACTAAAATCCAAATCTAGAGCAGGTTACAGCAAAAAAAAAAAAAAAAAAAACATTTTTTATCGTGAAAGATCACATTTAGAGATATAAAAAAGGCTTACATTTATGTCACGATTTATCTGGGGAGCGCTTGCAAGGCACTGGACTGAGAGAGAGACGCGAGTCGGCGGTAACACGGAAAACACATTTTAGTACTATATAAAATGGCAAAAATTTGAATAAACCCTTAAAACCAAGAAAGAAACAGATACAATAACGGGCTATACAGCAAAACCGAAACTAACTTCAATCCGAGTTAAGTTCAATCCTTAGCCCTAATCTCTCTCTAGCCAAAACGCATTTGGGTAAGGAAACTTTTTTCCTGTTCATCCGGTCGTCGTGTCGACTCCATGCCCTTGCCATGCTGACGGTTCGTCGGATCTGTCGTCGACATCCTCCTCAAGCTCCTACGGTCATCGTCGGTAGTTTCCGCCCAATGTGCTGTTTGTCTTCAATGCCAGTGTCCCTGCCCTAACCACAGTCTTCCACCTCACTAGGCTAGGCTTAGCTCGGCATGGACTCCCTTCCTGACTGGTGTAGGGTGCTACTAGCCCGGCGCAAACTGGGAAAGCTGCAAATCCACCAAAAACTGCTGGGCAAGGGTGCAGCAAGTCTGGGCAACCTCGCTCAGGAGGACCTCCGAGGTCGCCGGCCACTTCTCGGCTCTCTCACACCGAGTTCCTTCAGAACCGGGCGGCTATGCTGCTTCCATCGCGATAGCGACGCTGGTTTTCCACGTCTTCACAGCTCGGAGCTCCACAGCACAGTGCCAGCTCATTCTTCAAGATTTTCTATTACGGCTCAAATCGCAACCACAAGCTTTTCTCCGACCAATCTCGTATGTGTACGTGGCCTTTGAGCGCACCATCGGGGGTCTTGCATACGTGCGTCACTTTTCAGTACCCGGCATGTGCCTCGTGCCCTTTTACTCATGATAAAATGTTTACTTCGAGAAAATATGTACAAGCCTTTCAATATCACCTAAATTGTGCAGAGTGAACATGAGCACTGCTATTTCAATAAAAGTAGTATTTTGAACCACCCCACTGTGCAAGCAATGATGAAGTACACATTAGCATTGGCCACACCAACCATATCCTTAGACTCTACAAATTTAAATTTGAATCTGCCAAGCTGGCAACCCTGAAATTCAAGGAATTCGTAAAGCTTAGGAGTAGGAGGGGTGAAAAAAAAAACTAACGCACAGTTCCCCATCCACCGACCGTTTTTTTTTTTGCGCTGCAGAAATGTCATACACTGCTCCAAATGATTGCCAGCAAGCCAGTAACCTTTTCAGATGTCAGCGATCATATTACTATTCACAATTATGCGGCATATACAAGCATGAGTAATCGAAAAAAGAAAAGGGGGGGCTGTGCAGCCCTTTTGAAATCTGAATACGTCTTTCCGCAGAGCACCAGTGTACTGCAGCAAAGCTGGTTTAAAGCATACTGCACATGTTGAAACAAGGCTAAGAGATCTTCAGTATGCTACACTCCATCCCTTAATTAACCCACTATTTTTTTTCTTCTTTTTTAAATTTCACAATCGGGTTTAGGTTTAGGGCACAACTTCTCAGCTCACTTGCAAGGGGTGTTCAGCAAGATAAAGTAGCAAAAGCACGAACTCGTCCCGGCAACCTGACTGGTTATTTATCAACTGGACAACGCAATTTCAAGAGGAAAAAATGTTTCATATGTCATTTCTATGGCAACCAACGTGGTCCCCGGCAATGACAGCATTCACAGTGTGTCCGAGTTTGTTTACGCGCATAAAACGCAACACACGCTTGCAATTTTATTTTCCAAAATACGATAGCCACATTTGCTGATTAGAAAATTCATGCTTCCCGAAAAACGTTGTTGGCTACGGGAAAGCGTTAAGTTGTGTCGTCACGCCCATAGAGATTTGCTGCGGCTAGCAGATCGACGAGCACGCGGTGTTATTACTTCATTAGGCCGACAGTGTCTCACGAGTGTTCTGACCTAATAAGTGCATACCTCACACCAAACTGCGCATGACCCCCGTGGCCTCCATTTCACGCTAAAGTTATTTTAACTGAGAATATTTTGAGACAAGACAGACATTTTGGTGCAGCGTGGCTTAATTTCAGCAAATTTCATGGTTTTGGCACAGCTGTTGCATCCATGCTTGTGCTGCTACTTTTGCCTCAAAAGTTTTTCGATAAGGATCACCACGAAGTGACAAGAAAAGCAAAACCAAACAAATAGAGAGATAAACTCTGGTTGGTGCATGCCAGACCCACCTTACAGGTTTTTCAACCTGCACTGTTGGTGCTGTGAAGCTAGGCTCACTGCTGGCCAGGTAGACACTCGCGCCGTCCACAAGACCACTGCAAATATTCAGAAGGAACGACTGTCAACCATACAGTAATATTAATAACAATATAAAACTGTTTACACCATTTATTCATTTATTTGACAATACAGCTCACTCCAGCGAGAGCAAATTCTGAGTATGTAACAAATAAGGAAAGGAAACAAACAGTATAAGAAGCAAAAGATGTCAACTACTGTTTACCTGGTTAAAAAAATTTGGTAAATAAAGAAAACTGTACAAAAACACAAAAGCAATGAACACAAGCTATTCAAATGGCAATGAATATTTAAACTAGCGTTTTTCCTTATCTCCTTGTTTGAGCAGCATGTGAATCAAAGTCATTTTGATTTATAAATATTTTAGGACAAGTTTGCGTAATAGTTCACGATTGAAGCAGAGCAAGTAAATATTATGTTTTCCTCCAGTATCAGAATCTCAAAAAATGTCCATAGATATGCTACTCCTTCAGTGCCCTCAAATAATTTTAAACATTCAATAAAGCCATGCTTTCAATGTGGCAATTCAGTATAACTAAAGCACTTTAATGCATGCTTCAGGCAGGCCAATAGCCAGGAATTTTTTTCTGGGGGGGGGGCACCATCATGAATATCATTCTTCAGTGGTTGAAAAATTTTGCTGTATTATCTCAAGCTTATCTATAATACTAATACCCCTATTGCACAGCAAATCTAATGTCATTTACGACGAATGGAATTAAGCGGACCTAATATAATTTTACCTGCTTCCTGTCGCACGATGAAAATAAGTTTGAGTATCTGAATATATATGTCTGTACAATGCCTAACCTTCTTTACTATATCCGCAATGTTTAGCATCTTGTATCATGGTTCAATGCCTTGTTCTGTTGTTTTGCTACATGTGCTACTGTTGCCTTGTGCTATCGTTTGGATACTGTGCCATTTTGTATAGCATCATTGGACCCTATTCTAGCCTTTGGCTATGGGTCCAAACAGTTTTCTGATTTATCATGTTGCAATTGAAAAGAAAAAAAATATGTCATTTTGAAATGATAACCATCACCTTAGCCTTGCTGTGCTATGGCTTTGAGAGAAATAAAAAGATATTAGAACTTCCATGAAACATGCATGTATCCACAAGAATAAGAGCGTGTTGTTGTTGCCGCTCTGCCATCTTGGCTGAAGGACACTGGGGCTCTTCGATTTTCCACTTCTGGCTACCCGCGAGCTGCCAGAGCCAGCCAGAGCGCGCTGGTTTTTCTCAGGCTGCTCCCCCCCCCCCCCCCCCCCTCCGCGGCGCACTTCCGGTTGGCATTCATTTTTCTCGGGTTGGACAGTTCTGGCGACCTGCGGGGAGCCTGAGGGTCGCCAAACGCTTCCAGGACAATTTAGTCGTGGAAGCTTACTGAAAGGTTTTGGGCAGGTTTCGGGCTAGAAGACGCCGAAAAGGTACGATGCGCGCTAGACGCCATCTTTGTGAGGACTCGATTGATTGCAATGTGGGCGCTTGAGGATTGCGCCTTCGCTTGTCATTACGCGTGGCGTTATCTTCTAAAGCCTGTTCCGCTGTTAGAGATGAGGAGATTACGAGTGGCGGCGAGTGTTCAAAGCTACTGTTCATTGCTTTTGTTATGTTTCCCGTGAAGCTTTCTCCTGTGGACAATGCAGCAAACTGTTGCCTGCGGACTGCCTCAAAAGTTATATACTACACATTCGTACGCACGCATAGAGACTACTTTGGAGTTGTTTTTTTTTTTTTCGTAGTAGTCGTTTGTGGAGCCGTGCCTGCTTTCTGTGCACTTAGCGGAGACGATTGCAATCTAACTAGCTCACTCCGTATGTTTGCGTACGTGCACCTCTTAGAACCTCTGTCCTGACTACTCGATTGACCTTCGATGGTGATAGAAGACCTTAGATCGCGACTGTTGGTGATGCTCGCTGGTCGCGAACGGTGTGCGAACCCACGCTGATCTTAGTTCGATCTATAGGCCAGTATATGTGGTATGATATTATACGATACAACGTGAGAAATAAAAACAAAGAATGGATTCAGAAATCCTTTCGTTGCTCATTTCATCGTTGGCTTTGTCTTTTTTCACCTGTTCATAATAATGCCGCGCAGTATGTACTATGACCTAGTAGGTCAAATCAAAGCTGATATACATCACATTTGTTAAGTGCCACTTCGGACTGGAAAACAGGCCAAGGCAAGTTCTAAAATGGGTCGAAAACGTGTAATGCAAATGTTAATATTATATTCGACGCACACTCGTGGTGCCAATACCTTCGCATGTCTAAACTTTAGACAAAAACGTAAGTTGCTCAACGTGTGTGTGCGACGTATAATACGCGACAGCTGAGCAGGTATATATCCTCAAGCTCTTTTTGAGGACACGATCACTGTCGCGTGATTTTGCGTCGTGTTGTGCAGTAACTGTTACATGTACTAAAGAAACGTGAGCTTGTTAAGATGTCACCGTCGCGGCAGCCCACCTTGCATCGTTCTCGAGGCGGCGTGCGCCAGCTGGCTGTTTCGTTCACGGACGCGGCAAGTGATCGTGCGAGCCTACGAAGTAGTACCCCAAATGCGTACGCTCGAGGATATTATTTCAGCTTTTTGGCGAGCTTAGCTACGAATTTCCAAGCTGACAATGCAGAAAAAACCAACACGTACGTGGCGCATTGTTTCGTTTGCTGCCACAATGATAGAGTTCGTTTACGTTTACGCTGGCTGTCCCAGCGTTCGATTTTGCGATCTTCGGGTTGTCTCGGGTTCCCCACACACGTGACCATGATGCTGTTTCCTGTCTAGGCCTGAACTAGCTGACCGACCCTCTGTCAAGCTCTGGCTGCCAGAGAGCTGCCAGAGGCCTGAAAATCTAAGAGTCCAACTGTGTACTCGGTGTACAATCTGTAAATGTATTTCTACCTTCTGTCTACTCTCACCCCGTGACTTTTGGTGGTGGTGCAGGGTACCAAGACAGTATAACAGAGCTGCGCAGCGGTCGACACTTGGTTTCTTCTATGGTTGCACAAGAGAGTCCGGCTCAAGCTCCTGCAGCGGCCACTTCAACGATGACAGTTGTTCTGCCCCAGCTGAAAGACTCACACGTTCTGCGGGACTGACAATGTCGACATCGAAGAATGGTTGCCGATGTACGAGCGAACAAGCAAGAATTATCACTGGGACGAAACACTCACGTTGGCAAACATTCTATTCAACCTTGTGGGGGCGCTGACACCACCTGTAAAGTTGTTTGCGCTGCGTGGCGCATGTGTCTCGCCCAGAAGCCGTATTTTGGGGGTCGCGTCTACTGAGCGATAGGTGGCGTGTACGCGAGCGGTGATCACCACTGTCATCATCATCATGATTGTTACAGTGGCCGGCAGTGACCCCTGGCAAGCCTTGGTGGCGGGCGAGAGTTGAGCGAGTCTCTTTTGCGCGTGGCGGTTGCAGCAAACGGTTGTCTCTAGCATGGGTCCCCGGTGCGTGGCACGGCGGGTTGCGCATCGGGGGCCCTCGTGGTAAGTCAAGCTTTAGCGCTGCCGCCTTGAGTGTGCTATTGTGTTTGTCATGTGATTGTGAGTTTGTCGTGTTATTGTGTTTGTTTTGGAGTGTATAGTAATATTGTGTAAGGATGTCTCAGTGGGTTGATCACAATTGATGTTAAATAATTCGGCGGACGATATCGTCGCTCTAAAATTAGTTCAATATATGTATGTGTTGTTTGGTTTGGACCGACCGTGTCTGCTGTGTCCGTTCACTCCTAGAGCCTGGCTCTCGCCATTTCGAGACCCCACAACCTGAAGGGGAGAGCCAAAGTGTGGTTTGAGAACCACGAAGCGGAAATCGGCAGCTGGGAAGCGTGCAAAGAAAAGATGCGCGCTCTGTTCGACAAATCGATTGGCAGGAAGACAGCCACGAAGAAGGGGCTGGCATTTCACACTCAAACGTTATCGGATAGGAGTTGTACCTGCCTTACATACAGAACATGCTCGCCCTTTGCCGCAAAGCAGATAACGGCATGGAGGAGTCTGAGAAGCTAGCGCACATAGTAAAGGCATTGCCGATGACGCATTCAATCTGCTAATTTGCACGGAGAGTGACACAGTAATGCCATCATCTGGGAGTCCAGCAGTTTGAGGCCGCCAAAAGCCGACGTATTGCCCATCAATTCGCTCAACTTCCCAACACAACAGGTTCCGCTGACTGCACAGCACGTGACGAAGATCATCCGATGAGAACTCGAAGCTATGTCTCCTGCTTCAACTTTAGCTCCCAAATGGTGCCTTTAGTGCATGCCATCGTTTGCCAAGAGCTTTCGAACGTTGGCCTGAAATATGCGTGCACCACCGCCCCCTCCCGACCGACTGACCGTCGTCCGCCAGTTTCCTACGCGCAAGGCCAGAGGCTCTCAGCGCGCTCTGGCAATCCCGCCAAATGGAGGACTACTGATGACCGACCCATTCGCTTCAACTGCCGCCGTATTGGTGACGTGGCCCGCTATTGCAATAGCAGGTGGTATTGGTGTCAGCCTTCCTATGGCTACAACCGTCGCACAGAAGCAGATGATGGCCACTTTGAAACTTACCGAGAATGACGATTCATTGATTCATTGATACTGTATTGTCGGTCACCATCCCCCCACGGCAACCAGTCCCATTCAGCGATGTATCGTGGCCCATCGTCGTGCTCAACCCAATTTCACAGTCTTCCTTCGCCGACTGCATACCTAGCTCGGAAAAACTAAACGATGCAGCTCCAAGAGGTGATGCTGCATTGATGACTCATCAGCCAAATCCTCTGACCTCACTGCCGACATGACGCAACCTCATTGAAGCTCAAGCAGATGATGCACTTGTCGTTGCCCTTGTAGACACAAAAGGCCCACATTTCGGGGATGAACTCGGAGTTTCGCCGCCGCTTAAGAAGGTTCTAACACCGCCCACACTGCCACTCACCCAAGTCTCCGACGGTGGAACTTTGCTTGTGCTTGGGATGTGCTCTGCATGTGTTAGCGTTGCTGACCGCTCC